ATTTGGCAAAAATTTCCCGCCGATTTTGGTAGCAGGCTGGGTTCCCAGGTTCCCGGTTCCGGGTTCCCAGGTTCCAAAATATTTGTTCTGGGCCGATTTCGGTAGGTTCTGGTTTCCGGGCTCCCGGGTTCCTGGTCGATCTCCGCAGCGAAAACCATCCACTGATTGGAGCTTCTCTCTGGTGTAATTGAAACACTTGGCAAAAAAAATCCCAGCAATTTTGGTAGCAGGCTGAGATCCCAGGTTCCCGGCTCTGGGTTCCCAAGTTCCAAGATATTGGCCTTGGGCCGATTTCGGTGGGTTCTGGGATCCCTGGCTCCTGGGTTCCCGGTCGATCTCCTCAGCGAAAACCATCCACTGATCGGGGCATGTCTCTGATGCAATATAATAAGATCATGGCCATCGATACCCTGTAGATTACGTTCGAAGGAGAGAACATTACAGTGCTGAACATCATATGTCACCGCACTAAGTTACATTTTGTTGAGGTTTTCTTGGTACGGCCCAGGGGACGTGGCGGGCTTTTCTCAGCGCCTGGGTCCAGCCCTTCGGGCCTCCGAACATATTACTCTCGGATTGGGGGCCCGAATTCAAGGGACACTTTGAACGAGGTATTGATCACCTCGGCGTGCACCAACAAGTCATAGACGCTGAGAGCCCGTGGGAGAATGGGCGGGTGGAAAGGCACGGGCAGCTGGGTTAAAGACGTCCTCGTCCGAGCCTCTGGGGGCTTTCTCGTCACCAGCTCCAATCCCTGTTGCACGAGGTGGTGTCTGCCAAGAACAGATCCCTCCACCGAGGAGGCTACACCCCATAACAACTCGTTCATGGGTTTGACCCTCGACTCCCCAACAATCTTCTTTCGGACGACGCCACGCGTCAAGTTGGGGAGAGGGATCTGTGCAAGTCGGCCTGGAACCAGGACACCAACGCGGCCGATTTTGCCCGCCAGCACGCAATCAGGGATTCGGAACTGGCTAGGCAAAAACTGTTTCGGTCGTCGAGTCGGCGGAAGCTGGCGGAAGCCGCGAAAGGCTAGACTCAGAGGGACTCTACGGTGTACCCGGGTCAGTGGGTTGTCGTTTGGAGTCGAGCTCCGGTCCAGGGCAAGAAAACCTACGCCCTTCAGAGGGACAGGCGGGTGGGCCCGGGGCTCATTCTCCTGCAGAACGGGGGGACCGCCTGGGTGGCGATGATAAATCGTCTCTGGAAATGATCCTCGGAGCAGGTGCGACTGGCGACATCTTCCGAGGCCCGAGGGGCCGAGGTGATGTCGGACCCTGGGGTCAGGATCTCCTGAGGAAGGCCCAGCTGGGTCGAGTGGGGTCCGGTATCAATGTGGCGCGCGAAGGATCTCCCCCTCGAGAGGCCTGGGAGCCAGAGCACGGCGTCGTGGTGGATCCCGCGCATGCACTGCAGCCAGCCGAAGTGCTTCCTCCCGCTCCTCCCTCAGGCGCCGGAGGGAACGTTCTGAGCCGTCCAGGTCAAGGACCGGAGGAGGCGCTCAGGGCAAGAGGTCGGGTTCATCAGCCGGTACCACGGAATGAGATAATGGATCTTTGCATGCGGCGAGCCAGACAGGTGATGACCAGACTGGGCGAAATTCTTACTTGGCACTCCCCAGGGGCGCTTGCTGGAGCAGGCTCGGGCCTGGGAGGGCCGTCCTCAATCTAGGTCCCCGGTCCGATCCGAAGCCAACGCAGCCGACGATCAGTCCATGCAGGATGCACCCGAACCCTCACCTGAAATGTTTGCCGAAGAAGAGGTGTAGGCTTTCATGTCCAGGCCTCCAGACATCGATCTCCCGGACTTGCAGCTTCTCACTCTTTTGGGGCTCGAAGACCAGATGTTGTTGAGTTACTTTGAAGAGGTCAATTGAGCCATCTCCGATGAGGGGTGGAATGGCGACTGGAGCACCTATCACTACGACGACGCCAATGTGTTCGTGTGCCTGGAGACTGATCAACAGTGTGCCTTGTCCCTCTTGACGCAGAGGGGGAGCGAGGTGCGTCTCAAGGATGACCCCACCCGAGCGTACAGAGTTTGAGGTCTCCAATTGCCACGTGTGGGAAAGCATCCTGGCGACCAAGTCGGTGAAGGTTCATGGACCGGGTTGCGTCACTTGTTTCCCACCAGTCGTGCCCAACCGTATGGTCGGGCGTTGGAAGCCACAGGGTGGCACGCATGATCGACCGAAAGTCAAGTCTCGCTGATGCGTCCGTAGGCACCAAGACGAAGATACAGCCGAGCTCCAAGTCTACGCACTGACGCCGAGTATGGAATCGCTTATGCTCTTGTTTATCGTTGATGTATGACTTGGAAGTGTACATAGCCGACATCAAGAATGCTTTCTGCCAATATGACCCCCTTAGACTGCCCCAGGACAGGACAGGACAGGACAGCCCGCGCCTTGGCACCAAACTAGGGTGCTGCGGGTGTGGCGCCGGAGCGCCGGCCATTACGGCAAAGGAAAAAACAGCGGAGGAGAAGGAGGAGGAGGAGGAGGACGACGACGAAGAAAACGATTGTTTGTCGAGCCCTGAGCCCTTAGACGGCCCCAGGAAAGTGTTTGTCGAGCCCTGTGAGGGACTCGGGCTCCCCCATGGGTCTCATCGCGCCGGTCTACAGAACGCGCCTCTCGCGTTTGACGAGACATCCTCCAGGTTCCTGGAGCGCCAGGGCTACGTTCGCGCGAAGCTCGAGCCCTGTTGGTTCGTGCAACGGCGGGCGGGTCGTCTCACCTCACAGGTCCTCCTGGAGGTCGACGACTGAGCGATCGCGTTTCCCCCGGGCCAGGACCAGAAGTACAGCACGGAGTGTAAGGAGAGGCTTCGGCTCAGGAAAATGCAAAAGCTCGATGGTGAAGGGATGGACTACATCGGCAGGCGTCTTAGGAAGGTTGGCGAAGACTCTTCGGCCCCAAGGACTCTCGTGGATCAAGAGGAGTACACTCTCGAACAACTATGTCAATTCGCCTAATGCAGAGAGGGAGATTCCGAGAGTCCGTTGGTTGGGTCCAAAGCTTCCCAATTCCAGAATCTCGCTTACAAACTGAACCGGGTTGGCAGGGATACCCAGGCCGAAGCGTCCGGGTCCGCGTCGATCCTGTCCAACAGGGTTGACGCCCCTAGGTTCAAGGACCTGGTCGAAGCTCACAGGTGGTGATTCACCGTTTCGATCCGAATAACTGCATCTTTGCCACAGCATCCGACTGTGGCGGAGTTGGTTCAGACAAGCGCACGTTTCCTCAGCAGGCGTGGCAGTTCATCCAGCTGATCAGTCGTTGGCCACCAGGGCCCGCTCAAGAGCAACTCCACTTGCGTGGAGGTCGTGCCGAGTGACAAGGCAGGTGGCAAGTACTCTGGCAGGGGAGGCCCTGGCCCCGTCAGGGGCCCTCGCGGAGGCCCAGGGGCTCCACCTGATATACCAGGATATCACCTGCGGGAATATTGCAACCGAGCACTGGTAAGACAGAGTAGGTCCGTTTGTCGCTCTGTTGCCAGAGACGTACCACCTCGTGTCACCTCCTCAGAACGGCTGCCTCAACATACTGGATGCTAGGGGGATCTACGATACTATGATACGCTCAGCAAGCTGACGAGCGGATCGCGGGCCGTCAGGAGGGCCGCGATCGATCTCCCGGTCGTTCGGGATCTCATGTGTAAGCTCGGAAGAGTCATCCGCTGAAAGCCCCACCGTCTCATACCGGTCGACTGCATGACCAAGTCCGATCTGGCAAAAACAAACGCGGCTCAGTACGAGCTGCTGAAATCGGGCTGTCTTCGTTTGGCCCCAAAGCTGGTTTCCTTTAGGTTCGTGAGGACGATCCCCGAAAGAAGGGCCGCAGTAGAGCCGAATCACAAAGGCAACTCCAGCAGTAACAGGAGGGTGGTGTGCCGAATCCGACAATTTAATCAAGGCCGCTCCAGAGGGCAATTTGTGTCGGAGCAAGGTCCGAGCAGCGTTCCGGGATACTCTCCCCTGTTAAGCCTCCGCCACGCATGGTTCTGAATGGAGTTCAGGCCAGGAGGTGCAAGAGAGGGAAAGAGAGAGAGAGAGAGAGCGATTGACATCGCCGCGCAGACAGCAGGAAGGATTCAAGAGCTGGTGCGACACTTTCCAGTCTTTCTGGTGAGATGCAGAGCATCTCCCCGCGTCGAGCCCCCAGTTCTTCGGGGGTCTGCGAGGATTGCGTCATGTTGCGTCCCATTTTGGAGAGATCTCATGGCCCAGAGGACCCCTGGGCTAGAAGTGAAGGGTCGTAACCATTTTGGCTCAAGACCCACACTTACTCTTTCCCATTTCTCTTATCCGATCCTTTCTAAACCATCCTATACCATTTACCCCCTCTCCCATTAGCCTTGCAGTGTGTGCTCAGTGCTGAAGCAGAGGTGGCGTCACTCTCGTCGAGGTCGCCTGGAGAGAAGGTTTGGACTTCGGTTCCTCTCCGCTGTCGTCCGCGGGGCGACACATCACTCAAATGCGCCCGCGAGCTTCTCTTTTCATTGTTCTGTACTGGAACGAGAAGGGCAAATGCGGAACCGGGCGACACGTTCAGGGCAAAACCAGGGCCGCCCTTCGAATGGCGGCGACTTGGAGCTCGAATGCAAACAATTCAAAAGTTCGTTGCAGCAGGATCGCGACTGGAAGAACCACTGGCAAGGGTCTCTTGATTCGAAATCTGGGGACCCAGGCATCGGTGGCCAGATACCCATGGCGCCCTCCCTCAGGCCCCTCCCCAATCCGAGACCGCGCATGAGTGGCCAATTGGCGAATAGAACAGCAAGCAAGAGAGGCACAGGCAGCAGCGAGCAAGTCCAAAGGACAGCTTCTGTGACGTTTTTCACCACCCTGGAGTTGGGCTTCTTGGTCGCGGCTCGGCCTACAGAAGCCCAATCGAAGCGTACGCACCCCAGCCCCACCCAGGGGGTACGCCCAAAACACAGAAGTGCGGATAAGAAATCGTGTGATTACCGATGGGGCGCCGGCAGGCCCCGCTCCTCCACCTGCGCGGCACCCGAAGCGAGCGCGTGCTTGTCAGCGTTGGGAACGGCCGCCCCATCGACGCCAGCCGCAGCCGGCATGGAGTCCAAGACGCTCATGCACCTCGGCGGGGGTGAGCATGAGGTGCGCCTCCCTGCCACCCTCCCTCCCCCTCTCCACTGCCGCCCCCCGTGAGACTGTTCTTTTATCCAGGGGAGGTAACGCATGTTACGGGGGGGGGGGAGGGGGGACAGGGGGGGAGGTAACGGTAACGGCGGCCGCGGCGTGCACCCCACCCCCCAAGGCACGCCTGCTGCACCGGCGCGCCAAGCGCCTGTGCAGCGCCGGTGTACACCACGGCGCCCGCGTACACTACAGCAGCCGTGTGCGCCGCATACCAAAACGCCTGCGCACGCCACAAAAACCGCGTGCACCACAGCGCCTGCGCACACCGCGTTGCCTGCGTACACCACAGCAGCCGCGTGCACCACAGCGCCTGTGCACCACAACGCGTGCACGACAGCGCCTGTGCCGACAATACATACTCCTCCCTCCCCCCTTCCGCCGCCCCTCCCTTTACTCCCTCTTTCCCTCTGGCCTCCATCCTCCTCCTCTTCCTCCTCCTCCTCCTCCTCCTCCTCCTCATCCTCCTCCTCCTCCTCCTCCTCCTCCTCCTCCCCCTCCCCATCCTCCTTCTCCTCCTCTGTTATCCTTCTGTTGCGCCACAGCGCCTGTGTACACCACAGCGCCAGTGCATGCCAGCAGCCGCGTTCACCACATTGCGTGCGCGCGCCACACTGCGTGCACCGCAATGCCCGCGTGCACCGCGGCAGCCGCGTGCACCGCAGCGCTTGTGCACACCACAGTGCCTGCGTGCACGGGGGAGAGGGAGGGAGAGAAGGAGGGGCGTCGTCGTCGTCGGCGACGACGACGACGGGATTTTGCTTTCCGGTGCGTTTTGTTTTGGCGTTGTTTGGTCCGTCTGGGCCTGCGGAGGCCTCCGGGGAACTCCGGAGGCGCCTCCGGTGGCCCCCGGAGGTCCCCGGAGGCGCCTCTGGGGACCTCCGGAAGCCTCTGGGGACCTCCAAAAACGTAGAACTGCGACGCCGACGCCGACGACGACGACGACGACGACGACGACGACGGGCATTGGCCCCACCCCCGGCGACGGGCAACCGACGACGAAAACGACGACGACGGGGGAGAGGGAGGGGGGAGGGAGGGATTCGAGGAAGAACAAACTTCATGAACATAAACTTTCGGATGTCCGCGCGGGTTTCTAGGACCGGCGCTGGACCCCCCTTGCGGCGACTCTGGCGCCGCCCCTAGCGCGCTCCGCGCGCCGGAGGGGCGGGTCCAGCGCCGATCCAACAAATCCACGCGGACCTCCGAACGTTCGCGTGCACGTCGATGCCTGTATACACCGAAGTGTACACGGCCAGCTGCTGCAGCGGCGCCAGCAGCTACCGCGTGCCCAACAACGACCCCGTGCCTGCGTGCACCACAATGCCTGTGCACCTCCGGAAGTTTTTGGGCCACGTCGGTCGTCGTCGTCGTCCTCCTCCCCCCCCTCCTCCGCCGACCCCCTCCTCCTCCTCCCCCGCCCCCCCTCCACAACCTCCTCCTCCTCCTTTTCCTCCTCCTCCTCCTCCTCCTCCTCCTCCTCCCCCTCCTCCTCCTCCCCCTGCCCCTCCTCCGATGGAAACTGCACAGGTTCACGTTTGTGGCCGGTTCCCCGGCGCTACCGTTACCTGGGGTGGGGTACGGGGGGGGCGGGGGGGAGGTAACACGCGTTACCTCCCAGGTGATAAAAGAACAGCCACCGTCCCTCCTTCGCTGTTCCGCTCTGTCTGCACGAATGCCAGATGCGATGGGAATAAAACTTTTTGGGGCGGACGATTAAAGAAATTGTTTCGCGAGCCCCCGCGCCCCCGCAATAGCCGGGGGGCAGGGCAGGCAGACGGGGGGCTGACAATTCCGGGTTGCCTGGAAGGCCAGGGGGGAAGGGCACGGGGTGGCGATCCAGGGCGCGGGGGCCAGGGGGGTAGACGGGGTGATTTTTCAGGGCGAGCTCGTCCTCCTCCTCCTCCTCCTCCTCCTCCTCCTCCGCCTCCTCCTCGTCCTCCTCCTCCTCGTCCTTTTCCTCCTCCTCCTCCTCCTCCTCCTCCTCTTCCTCCTCCTCCTCTTCCTCCTCCTCTCCTCCTCGTCCTCCCGGCTCGGCGGGCAAGGGGGGCGAGCGCCCCGCGGGCGCCCCCCGTGCGAATTGCGCAACGGCGCGCGCGGAAGAGAATTCTGGCGGAGAAAGGCAAAGCAGGCGGACCGTCTGTGGCGACAAACGTGCCACGTCGTGCTCTGCCATGGTACGCTTTGATCTTGAACGCCATGCTATGCAATGTTATGTTCGGGGCCGCTGTGCGATGTCATGCTTTGCGTTGCAAAGATTTGTGATGCAATTCTGCACTACGCTACGCCACGCCACGCTGTGACATACTACGCTTTGCGGTGCTCTTCAACGCCCAGCCACGCCGTGCTCTACAATGCATCGCGTACCTTTCGGGATCATTGCCCTGCTCGACATCCAACTGTGCGAGTAGAGAGGGTATCTACGGCATAGTAAGGGATGGGAGAGAAGGGTAGGCTGTCATATATGACGCGAGCGCACCTAGCTTGTCCTCCCCCCTCCTCCTCTTCCTCCTCCTCCTCCTCATCCTCCTCCTCCTCCTCCTCCTCCTCCCCCTCCTCATCATCATCATCATCACCATCATCATCATCATCATCATCATCATCATCAACATCATCACCATCATCATCATCATCATCATCATCATCATCATCGTCATCATCATCATCATCATCACCACCACCACCACCACCACCATCATCATCATCATCATCATCATCATCATCATCATCCCCCACCTCCCAATCGCCGCGGCCGTCCGCAAAGACGACCGGCGGCCGTCCGCAAGGACGAGGGTGATCAAGCGCCTCTTCGAAAACCCCTTCCCTGATTACCCCGCCCCCCCTCCGCAATCCCCCCCCGCGGCCGCGGGTGATCAAGCGAGCGAAGAGAACGAATAGAAAATCAGTCCCCCCAAAAGAAAAAGCAAACGCCGGGGGGCGGACGACTTAAAAAAGAGTTTCCGGCGGCTGAATTCTATTAGCCCGCCCCACTCAATCATTTTGGGGGGTCTGGGGGGGGGGGCGTTTTTGTTTTTCTAATCGTTTCCTCTCATTACGGGCTATGCAAGTATTGTGGGCCCCCCCCCCAGTCCTGCTCCCTCGCGAGCATCGCCCCTTCTCCCGACCCCGGGCGGGCACGACGACCTCAAGAGGCTTCTCCAGCAGCCAAGATGCCCAACGTGGCTTCCAAGACAGCCCAGGCAGGCCACCAAGGCCCGCCACCCAAGAAGATCCTAAGAGCCGAATGGCACCCAAGAGGTGCCCAATGCACATCCAAGACGATCTCTACAAGATCTTCGCCAAGCCAAAAGCAGGAATAACGACGGTTGGTTGTGATTTGCGCATCGTCCCCAATTGTGCGGCTACATCAACGAAGGGCACCTGAATCGCCGAACAACTGAACGGACTCCGCCGACCCTGACTTGCCGAGGGCGACAACAATGTGCGAGATGCGGCTGTCCTCCTATACCGTTTCCCACTATCCTGGGATACATCACCCCGGTTGACGGGGGCATTCGAGCTTCCCGACGCACCGCCCTGGCTGTCTGGCGCATCTCTGCGTCCTCAGGCCTGCAAAAGTCGATGACAGGATCTCAGAGCCTGACGGAGTGCGCAGACGACTCTCTTCTCAAGAGCCGAGAGGGCTGAGGATCCCACATTGCTGCATCAACTCGCTGCTGCACTGACGCCTTCAAATGCGCATGCTGCAGTTTTCGGAGCCGCGTCAGGCCGTGGCTCCGAGGGCCCCAAGAAGCCCAACATGGATCCACTGTTGCTTAAAATAGGCACGCGGGGTCAACACCCCTCCACACTAACAGGGCTTAGCCTGTGCAGTGCCTTGTCCGCCGCGCCTCTTTGAAGCTCTCTGCACTCGTGGCTTCTTCGAGCCACGGTGCTCCCGGCGCGCTCCTCAGCTGTCTCCCTCTCGCAAAGGAGTGTGGACACGCATGTCCACGCAGTGTCAGCGTGAAACTCGGCTGGCCTAGCCGTACAACATCGAACGAAAGCTCTGAATGACAATCAGGCGTGGTATCATGTACAATCGCATTCTAGCACGCGCACTGGTACCTAATATGTAATACGAGTACTAGCAATCACTACTGCTATGATGCACTCGTGCACCGTCCTCCACAGATCGTGCTCTTAGGCACGCTGCTGCGGCATACTCTGGCCCCCTTCCAGGGCCCGTTCATTCAGGCATGCTCGCAGGCACGCTCTTGGGGCTTGCTCTCGGGCACGCTCCCTTCCAGACCCCCGTCGCCGAGCGCGTGCTCACAGGCGCGCTCTTGGGGCGCGCTCTCCGGCACACCCCCCCCCGGAGTACCAATCACCGAACCGAGTGCACGCTCGCAGGCATGCTGTTTGGGCGCGTTCTCCGGCGCGCTGCCCATCCGCCACTCGCGGCAGGCTACACTTGCACATCTCGCGCGCAGCCCGCGCAGGGCACTCCGCAGCACGGACTCAAAGCGGACCGCTGCCGTCGCACTCTCGCGCAGCCCACGGGCCGCGGCAGACTGCGCAGCCAAAGATGCCAGAAGCAAAAATACGGTTACAGATGCTCCCCTGGACCTCTCTAAGCTCGAGCCCTCTCCCCTCCTCAACGGCATCATCTCGATCAGCTCCTCGAGACGAGCCTCGGGGCGAATCTTGGCCCCAAGATTCGCCCAGTTGTACTGAGCACCTACTTTCTTCATTCAATCCCCCCTTCCCTGTGCGGAAGAATTCTTGGGCCCGCAAGTCCTTCGCAGACGGGTGGCGGACACGGCCGCCCCCGTGTCTCTGACGGATGCCCCGGGCCGCGCCGCCGTCGCTCAGGATATCCAGCGAGACAGGGTGGCAAAGCACGGCCTCTAGCACCTGCCTGGATTGTGCTCCCATGGCTGTTCCTTTGATGATGGAATAGAACTCGGCCTCTCCACTGCTAAGTGCCAACATCTGCT